TCACGTTTAAGATCCGATATTTGATTTGAGCAAATTCGAACATTAGTACAAAATAATTTATAATTGGGATGGATTTTATTCTAATAATAGGTAAAGAAAATGAATTTGAGTCTAAACTCAATTTTAAAAACTAGCGAGATTTTATGAAATTCTTAGAAATATATCTTATTCAGACAGTAATGCACGCATGCATATGATTCTTTTTGCCTCCAATTGGTATCTGTTTGTTCCCTTTTGAAGTTCCTTTTTAGCTTTTTATTTTTTTAGTGACTCGCACTTATAACTTTTAAATTAGAAGCGAGGGATATTTATCATATTCGACTAACTTCTTCTTGTCCTCTTTTAGCCTTTAATTTGTTGTATTCTTTCACCTACTCTCAAATTATTCTTTCTTTTGATCAGTTGCTATTAGGTTTAGTCTCTTTCTCTTTATATATGGGTGCTCGACAATGTTAGAAAAATATGTATGTTTTTAGGCCTTCAAATTTAAGGGTTCTCATTTTTAATAATAATTAGTTATAAGTTATTATTTTTTAATAAATATTGAATACTATTTGTAGAAAAAGTAAAAAAAATTCATGAAAAATGAAGGAATTATTAAAAGAAATTTAACATATTTGAAATTCTATATCTTATGAAAAATAATTTAAAATAAAAATGATTATATTATCAATTGAAAACTAAAAGAAATTTGATTTTTATTTTAGATCATTAATACGCTAGAGCCTCCGATTTCTCTACATTGTCTTTCACATTTTTGCTGCCTTGACGGAATGATGCCAACATTTTAATTTTATGAATTCTAAATCTCAAATTAATATTACAATAATAATTAATAGATTTCTCTTTTAACACCTATAGAATTGAGAAAAAAATTATTACGTTCACGCGAATCGATAATGCATCCAACAACAAACTCAAAATTATGGTGGAGAATTGTTACTCAAATAAATGTTCTAAAGTCCATTAGATTTATCAAATTCATAGTAGTACTTCAAGTACACAAACTTTGGTGCATACCACAAAGCCTACATGCTACAATAATTCCAATTGAACAAATGATTCAAAAATTAAAATGTGAGAAATCTCTTCCCTTTTTTTTTTCTTTTCTCTTTTGCTATACATGTGATAAAAAAAAAAGACGCGAAGGATATCTCGTGAAACTGATCGAGAATTGGTTTAATTAATGAAATAATAGAATCATCCCAAATCAGCAAGCAGCTTCTGATATGCTCTGTAATGAAGGATGCCATGCTCTGCATCTTGCACCTGTTGAGTTTCTATGTTTTTCCTGTTTAACCTGAAGAAAGAAAAAAAATCACTTCCTAAATTTATAACAAAATTAAAAAAAAATTAAACTAACCAACAATTTTTTTAAATTTTTAGAATTAAAATGAAAGATTAAAAAATTCACCTGTTTAGAATTCTCCAGAACAGATCCAGGATTCCAATTTGATTTTTGTGTCAATTTTTCACATGAATATTCTAACTGCTTCAGCTTCGCATACTTCTTCGCACACAATCCTTTCATTACCTCTGCATAAACAAAGGGATTATAATTAAATCATTTAGTCGATCAATCAAATCAACAGAGCTACTAAGATTTTTTCGAGAAGTAACAAACCTTGAGCAGTAACTAGTCTGTAAATCTGACCAAGAACAAGTGAATCATTAGGTTTGAGAAGCTTTATTCGCCTAACTCGTACCGGCGTTTTATTGTTGGTGGCGGTGGTGGTGGTGGTGAGAAGAAGAGAAACATAATGACCGGAATTGATTTTCATGATTTGGTGAGCAGTGACTGATGAATAGAGCTTTTCAACTTTGCCATTTGGATGCTGCAATAGCAAAGCTGCATTATCAATTGCTTGGCAATTCCCCATCTCTCTGAGTTATGTTGTTTGCTCTATTTCTTCTCTGTAAAAGTATTGGGGGAAAAATAAACTTTGCTGCTGAAAAATGAGCAAGACTATGACCTTTATATAACTGTCAAATTGTCAACTGGGGTCAAGAGAACCAGCATCCTCTCTCGCGTGGAATAGTAAGTACTCTTTCATTCTTAATTAAAGTTTTTCGTTTGAGTCTTTTTGAATATGAAATTGTCTTTGTTAGAGAGTGATTTACTTCTAATATAAAACTAATATGAAATTATCTTTGTTAGAGAGTGATTTACTTCTAATATAAAACTACTCGGCGTGAATCCAAATTTAATTAAACTCCAATATGGATACAGAGTGAGAATCCTAACATAGTTAGACTCCAATATAAATATCGAATACAAAGAATAGAAAATCAAAAAGAAAAGGGATAACAGTCTTTGGTCTAATTTGTTGTTGTGATATTACACTTTTATAAGGACGTATTACCTCCCTGGACTATTTAATATTGTATTTTAAACATATTTTTACCACTGAATATTTTAAAGGTATATATATGTCTCACGCGGACACATTACTATTCATAATTTTACATTATTATTTATTTCCACATGAGCAAATATATATATTTGAAATACACTATTGAATAGTTCAAGAAGGTAATAGATGATAGTATTGCAACAGCAAATTCGATCAAAATTAAGATATTTTTCAAACCCTTATCCTAAAAAAAAAAAAGTAAGCTAGGAGAAGGGAAAATGAGCAAGAGGATACAAAGGTGAAATCGAATCTTTTATCTTATTAATAATGTAAAAAAGTTCAGATAATCAACATATTATCCGTTCGTTTTCAAAGGTGAGGGCTATGGTGTGATTTGATACTAGAAATTTCACAAAAAAAATTAAAATTTAATATATATATTTATACAAAGTTAAAAACCATTGATCTGTTTATATACTGTAAAAAAATTCAAAAAAAAGGATAATATCAAGTAATTCATTGACATATACCTCTCTATTGATAAAAAAAAAAAGAAAAAGTTATATACTAGATATGCTTGTGTAAGACGGTATAATTTCAATAAAATAATTAAGATACGCATAAACTGAGATGTCCGACTCGAATGGATAGGGTGTTAGGGATGATGTTATGGCATGGTTGAACAATGGAAGGCGTGAAAACAAGACATGATTTACACCAGCATGGCACAGATCTCACTCTCCAAAACAAATCATCATACAAAAAAATATTCTCTTTTTGCTGCTTTTTTCTTTCTCTAGATACATCTTGGACAGTGCAAAATTGGAACAATTCTGTTTTTGCTGTATCTAACTTTATCCAACATACTCTGATATTCCACTGAGCTAATTCACATTGTTGTTTCCCTTCAATGTTACAAAAAAAACCCATAACAATATACTTGTCTTCTTTCTGTCTGTTGCATGCGCATTTTTTTTAAACCATGCATATTCTTCTTTTTAACTAAAGTGCTTCGAATTCATGTTTTACCTATATATTTCTATTTTTGTTATTGGTGATCAGTCAATTACGATATTAGTTCTCGGTTGATACTAAAATGCTTTACTAGTGTTTATGTTGAGATAATGATGTAGTTTCTAATATTATGTGTTTGTTTTGTTGATATGATTAATGTTTTTTTAATTTTGATCACGTAGATATTAGTATGAATCCGAGTACATTTAGCTAGAATTGAATATCATTAGAATAATAAGGATCAATTATATGTATATTGTGGTAAAATGATCATACTAATTACTCCCTTCATCTATTAAGAAAATAATTAATGACGTAGTGAGTTTATCATTTTATTACTGTTAATTATGAAGTGCATGAAAAATTTTACATTATTTAAAGTAATAGTCATTTAATTGAAGGTATAATAGGTTAAAAGTAAATTATCCTTTTTTTATTTATCTAAATGGACAAGTGATTAGGACAATTATAAAAAGAAAAATGAACAAGTTAAAAGGGAACGGAAAGAAAAAGAGGAGGACTGTTTTTACTAACTTGCTTCTAAAATGTCTTTAAGAAGGGAAAAAATGGATTTTTAATAGTGTAAAACTATTTATTTTGGTAATTTCAGAAGAATAAGATACGGCTAAAACATCACTCGTTTTGAAACGAAGAAAATAAACGAATTAAAATCCATATATGATCTAGATATTTATATTTTCGCCATTGCTATAGTCATTAGTGATCAGTCAGATGTAACATCATCTTTCAAATTTTGGATTTGTCTCTGATAATACTTGTTACTTCCCGGCCACTAACACATACACTAAGCAATTGTACCACCAAAATTAGGACAAACAATAAGAAATCAACTAAATCACATGATTTTCATATACTATATAATACTCATTGAGCACAATGATATGAAGTAGCTCCCTTTCAACAAAGGAGAATCTAAGTGTACTTGAAACATTAATACATTATGACACTCAATTCATGCTTGAAAAAACTTCATAATAACATTGACAAAGCCAATTTTAACCAATTAATTTCTTCAAAATTCTACTTTTATCTCTGAAATCCAATTTGAAAAGAAATAAGAAAGGGTATAAAATAAGTGGCTTCCTTTCCAAAAAAATAAAATAATAATAAATCATAGAATAAAAAGTTAACCAATTGCATGTCCAATTTCACTTTTTTGTTTTTCTGTCTTCAAATAACAATTCATAGTGGTTCAGTGGTCCTATTTTCCTGGTCTCCCCTTCTTTACCAGTGTAACACAGTCATCATTTGGTTGCATAATTTGGATCTATGCGAAATTGAATAAAAATATCTTTAATTAATACTATGGCTCAAAAATAATTTAATGGATCAAAAAAAAAATTTCTATATAAATATATTATTATTTTCTTATTAAAAATCTTTCTTTTCCTAATAATGTTATTAGAGAAAGAACATTTTGACCCATTAAGTAAAAATAAAGACATTTTTTAACCAAACTATTAATCCTAACTCGTAAGATCAAAGACCAAACTATTAATTAAAGACATTTTTTGTTTGATTTCACATAATTTAAAAACCATTTTACAATTTTTCTATTTTTTTCATGCAAGACAAAAAAAAAAATTGTCCTAGTGTTTTGTTGTACACTGATTTACTGCTAATTATAATTCATAAAAGGATTGCTTGCTCAATTGCTAGTTAAAGTTGAATCCAAATGATCCATAAATTTACAACAGTAGGAAATACTTAAACTAATAACTGTTGTTCTAAGCTTCTTCATACTTCATTTCTCATGAAAGAAGAAAATTGATGTTGCAGCAGCAACCTACCTCCCCCCCTCTCCAACAAGCACAGATGAACTCTAGTACTTACTAGTAAAAAGATGAAACCTTTGTGTCCGTGGCGTCGCCAAATCACACAGATGGGAAATACTTGTTCAGATTGAAAGGGAGGGAGTAGAATTCCTCACTTCTCGTGTCAGTCTTGAAGGACTTGAATTTGTCCCACCAGTGCTTGCCTCTGTCCTTTCTTGTCTGGCCATCCTTTTTGTGCATTGTGTTGTCCAGGAAAAAGGCAACGATACCCGCCACAAAAGCTTTTGATTGAAAGGGAACGTTGGCCATGTCGTTGAACTGAAAGAGAATAACAAACCACAAAAGCTCTTAATGTAACATAAGTCAAATGTTAGGACATTCATAAAATGATGTTAATTTTGCTATACCCATCTTGCATGTGTGTGAACAGGTCCATAACCAGCAACAGCAGTATACTCATTGAAGTACTGTGGAATGGACAAGCCAAGAAAGACGGAGAAACCTAATATAAACTTGGTGCGGAAACTATTAAGATTGCAGAACTGAAGAAAACCTAAGCCTCCAGCGCCTGCGAAGAAAGAACATAAGAAACCATAATTCCCAAGCTTTCCATAACATGAAATATTTTGGGATAGCAGTGATCCCGGGCATATGCTTGCCTTAAAAGATATACATACCTACATAAGCGAAGAAAAGGCAATATAAAGCACCAACAATAGGTGCAGGAATTGAAGCAAAGACAGCTCCAAATTTCCCTGATGATAATGTGGTTGTCAAGACAAATCGACAGAGGGTAAAGAGAATCAAGTATCAAGATAACCCACAAGAATTGCTCAAACTAAGTGTTAAGAGTGGTGATTTACCGAGAATTGAAAAGAAAATCATGAACGCAGCAGATATCTGAACAACTCTTCTACTGCCAACACGTGTCAATGCTAATAGACCAGCATTCTCCCTGCATGTACACAAAAGTGAGTCGACTTAGTCAACTATCATAACAAGGCAGTGTCAAGTTGCAGAAGGTTTTTGTCTGGACTTACACGGATACAGAAGATCCATTCCCAGTGCCAAATAATCCTGATAGTAGAATGCCAACTCCCTGAGGCAAAAACAAAATGTATCTAAATTAAAGAAAGCAAGGTATGAAGAAATAGCAAATGGTAGGGGAAGAGAAACAATGGCACTTCCCGCGAACCTCATTAAGATAAACAAGATAGATTTCCTCCTTTTCCAATCTGACCTACCCCCACCCTAAAAAAGAATGAAACTTTAAAAAAATTACTTTAAAAAACTTTTTAATTTTCCCATGATCCCGAAGTATCATTCAATGAGGGTGATAGGAAGGTTGCTAAATATACATCCAGTGCACTCTCTCTGCTACCCCCAACTAGTCTGGGAGCATTTGATAAACTGAGTAAGCCCTTATTGAGCTGTCTTTCTAGCCCCTTGCTTGCATTCAATAAATTATGTACTGTAAAAGCATGATATAATGCAATAGAGTTTAACTTCTATGCACTCGAAGTGTAAAAGGTATACAGGTAAATCTATTGATATGTTTAAATGGTAATCTGGTAAAAATGATAAATACCATGCTATCGCATACTAAAACTCACTTAATTATGAAAAGTTTATAGGAGAATATTCCTGTAACAACAGCATTTAAGTGTTTAATTTATGTGTCTAATTTTCCAAGATAAAAGAATTTGTGGCTAAATGAATGGTAGAAAACGAAAGACAACGCGTGGAAGAAGAAGATGAATATTTTCAGAAAACGTGTAGGAAGCAAGAGAGAGAATTATTGAGTTCCAAGGCATAGGTCTTTAAATAGGATGCAGGAATTTTGGCTGTTCCAATCCCTTAACCACATAACGTATGATATCCACTAACAGAAGAAATATCCTATCCGCCATGTACTGTCACACCCAAAGTGGATCAACTGCAAAATTTACTCAAATTGGACCACAGATAGACATGTTTGGTAGCAAAATTGCATCTGAGTGGTCAAAGATTTTGACTAATTGTATCAGTTATGGAAAGAAAGCATTCTAGTTAGAGTTGGGCGTTGGGATAATTAAAAACAGTTCATAATTCTTACTGTGAATTTATGATGATTGTTGACAATGCTGATACTGGATGAGTGTGATGACATTCCAACTTAGTGTAGTTCTCCTAATCTACATACGGCTTCAGATAAACCTCCCTAAAGACTATGCATTTGATTCAGAGTAAGGCTCCCCTTCAATGAAATGCAGCAGAACTTCCCTTACTATTTTCACTTTTACAGGAGGGCGAGAGGGATAGGAGAAATTTGAGAAAGAAATCATGTTTACCTGCCAACCAACACCACGACTAAGTATGGATGGTGGTAAGGGAGTGGCACTTGCATATCTTGCAACTGCAATAAAAGCACCAGTGGACTGAAAACACCAAAGCACAAGCGTGAAAGGAAGTTAGTTTAAAGCCTATCTCTTTCAGAGCTTATAAGTATCTCTTTTTTTTTCTTCAGAAAAATGGCTAAAAGGAGGTGTGACATCACACAAAAATTGGAAAAAGGATGCAAACAGGTAAAAAAAAAAAAAGGGACAGCACAAAGAAAGAGGAAGCAGACGAAGGTTGAGAAGTAGTAACTCAGAACATCTGTAACAACAACTAAACGTTTCATAAAAACAATAACTGAAGTAGACAAAATGTAAGACAATCCGGATCATAGTGGAATTAGCAAAGAAAACAGCCTGAAACTAAAATATTTACAATATCTTTGACCAAGCCCTGACAGGTGAACAAACCTCTACTAGAGCAACAAAACTAGCCATCATCATAGCAAATGCTTCACCAGCATTGAATGAAGGAGGTCCCCATTGGAAAGGGTAAGGAATACTAATCCTGCAGGTTCAAACCAGCAAACGAAAAGAGAAAATTATTAAAATTACAATAAGTTGCCTCGTAATTCTAGAGGAATATTTTCCTACAGGCTAAAGTAACAAATTAAGAACAATACTTAACCAACAAAAACACCTTAATATGAGTAATGAACGTAATGGAATGTTTTTCAAACAATATGCATCCCATGTCACAACCATAAGACCAACAGTAAGAGAAGATGAAATGGATAACGAAATCTAATTTTTGTTATGCTCCATTTTTCAAAATTGACCAACAAACACTCTATGCAGTCGATAATATAAGACTCAGATAGGTTACTTTGGGACACCCACTTGTGCGTACTTTTCCTAATCTATAGCACCATGACCATATGTGCCAGTTATGCTCAGTGTGGGAATAACAGACCAGCACAGCCAGTTGATCAGTTGTGACTAAACTGGCGATGAAACGAAAAGCACAAAGCATCATTCCATGCAAAATTATATAGCTAAAATACCTATATGCATCTCTCTTATTTTCTTCTTGTTTATCGTTTCAATCAAATTACGCAAGGTTAGTTTAATGGACAAGTACGCACCAATTTCTTGTCTTTCCCAGAAGCTACTGCTCAGAGGAGCCACTGGGATAGTCACTTTAGAGAGGCAATAAGAGCATGACATGTTAACATTCTAAATTTCTTAAATTCTAGGACTCTAGAGTGGAAGACAATGGTCTATGCCACATGTCAAAACAAAGTGTTATTATGTTGAAGATTGTAATGCAATATAGGTTATCAGAAACTAATCCTTATGTCCCAACATAAGCATCTTATTTTCCTTTTTATGCTGTGCTAACATGTGCCACTTCCCTAGAACACAACTTTTATACCATGCTGTAGAATCATTTTTGAATGTATGTAAGCCACAGAAGCAAGACCCACTCTTACACTTACAAAGTTGTAATTTTTACCAAGGAGTTCCGTATCTTTGGGACCGCATAAATGTTAAAATACCAAAAAGATCTGCATATCCACACAAATATTTAACCCATGCCAGTACATTAGAAAAGTGAAAAATGAAGGAGCGGAGCACGTGCCATTGAGCACCACTAATGAGTCCAGCACGGTCAGTTCTGCAGCTTGCTTGTGTCTTCGGTGGCTTTCCATTGTAAGCCCCGCCCACAGTGAGTAGGTGTGCATAAATCCATACAATGATCACCGTGAAAAGAACAGCAAAACGATCAAATATATTCTTCCCTGGACGTATCAGGTGTGCCAGATACTGCAAAAACCAGTGTTTTATTAAGAATGTGTAACTTATATCCTACTATGTAGTGTGTTTAAATAAATAGTTCTCGAACACGTGCAACGCACGTGTATTTCATACCATTTTAAACTACAAACACACAATCAATTATGAACCTGTGTGCTCCAAACATAGTCCATGTCCACATTTCAAAATTCAAATATGCAAAGACATTCACAGATCAACTTATATCTGAATTTTGAGTTCTATTGCAACAGAAACTTTTCATAAATAGATATTATACTAAAAAGAAGTGAATATGCTGCTAGCTTAACAATAATACAAAAAGTGTTGGTCAATATTTGTAGCTAAATCAATTATATTGAAATAAGCTTTACGTGAAGTAGACTCTTTTTGGAGGAGAAATTTAACCAAAGAAGACAAATGAAATAATTGGATAAACCAAACTTATGATACACTTTATAGAGTATCTAACGATGTGAAAAGATTGATCAGAATAAATATCATTGAGAAGATTAAACTATGTACAACCAATAATAACAAAGAAATTTTATATATTAAAATATGAATGAAAAATGTAAAAATAAGTTACTATTGGAAGATGAGATAAGAAAATATAATGCGTGAAATAAATTTTAGAGTCCCTACACACAAGTATTGTAGGAATAGTAAATAAAAGTTTTTCTTGGAAAAGTTAAATTTATAGAACAAAATTATGGAAACATGAAAAGACACATGAAAAATTGAAAGGTCAAATATTATAAAAATAAATATAAAAAAGATTGAGATGAAATTTAATTTTAAAAGATACATGAATCTACTTTAATTTCTTGTCTTTAAGGAATAATTACTCATTTGTATTTTCTTAAAATTTGTGTGAGAAATTTGAAAGGTCAAGATTTTGAAAATTATATAAGTTTTAATTTAATAAAAGGGCAAAATGATAATTCAACTTTTCACTTTGGAGCTTCCCAATATATATATATATATATATATATATATATGATGTTTACGAGATATATATGATATCTCGACAAAACAACTTACCTGAGAGAAAATGACTAAAAGGACTAGCTCTGGCAACCCAATTTCAACACATTTGGCAACCTAAACAGAGATGAAACAAATTCAACAATCATCATTGGATGAATATCAATGCAAGATAAGTGTGGTGAGTTTCTGCTTACCCCAGGAAAACCAAACTCATAAAGACCAAAGCCAACAAGAGAAACCAAAGGAACAGCTGAAAGTGGACTCAGAAACCTAAGAATCCACATGAAGTAAAATGATAATCAGAGCTAGCACACTGTACGAACACAAAGCACTTAACATAACTGAACAGACCTTAAACCACAAGAAAGTGACCCTTAGACTTAGAGAACTTGCTCACAAAGTATAGCATAAGAATATCCAAGAGCAGGCAAGAACGTGCATAATTGATGGTATAAAGTTAGGTAGCATTATGAGAAATCGCTCAAATGGAGGGAGAAATCTTGTGATGTAACAAACCTTGTAACATTGCGCCAGAGACCACTGAAGCCTAGGACAATCTGAAGGGTTGAAGCAACAATAAGGGCACCTTGGGTGGCCCGCATTATCTTCTTGAATTTCTGAATAAACAGAGAAATATTAACAATAAACTAAGATCCAATATCACCAAGATGAATTGGATGACTTCCTTTGTGTCTCTAAGCGTCTTCCTGGCTATTAAAGAAGTTAAAGGAATATACACTGACATGAATTATCAAGTTGAAAGTAAACTATTTCTGCATCAGTTTTTTATTCTTCCTTTTTTTTAGATAAGGTAATGTAAAATTAATTATATCTCAGTACCATATGAGAAAAGAAAAAAATAGCTGAACTAAACCGTCTGTCATACGATACGACCCTTACACCATGAGTATAAATTAGTAAGCATCTATTTTTAAGAAAATAAAGGTGTTCTACCTTTTCCTCAAAACATCTCTTTTTCTTTCTATCCAAACAATCCACAAAATATGTAGAGTAACTGTCTTCTTCAGTAACTTCAGTCTTTTATCAACCCTAGACACTGCTCGGTAGTAAACTTTTAACATCTCCTGGCATGACCACATTACTCCAAAAAGGTTTAAATTTGTGCATCAGCTTCTTTTGACAATTGGATGGTATATTAATTTGTTTTCTCAAAGTGATATTATGGAAAATTATTGTTAGTGTATGGATTTGGTTATTGAAAAAATTGGTACTTGTATATTTTTTACAAAATTGAGAAGTTGTGATTTTGATTCAATTGTTTGGAGAAATACCATTACAACCCTAAAACAATGTACACACTTTCATATTGCTGAAATTATGAGAAAAAATGGACTAAACATATTTACAAATAGTCAAAAGGTAACAAAAAGTAGTTGTTACACCATATGGACCAAATAAAGAGAAAAGAAGAAAAGTGGTGGAGTGATTGTGCCAAGAAATCTGATCAGACAGGGAGTGCAAAAAATTGGTTTAGAATTGGGAACCTAAATGACCCAAGAGGGGAAAAACAAGGAAGGCTGTAATTTAATTTCTAACTTTTCGAAAAGGATTTTGGGAGCTGGCCTTTGAGTATATAAGTTAACCAATATCTCAATTTTTGTCCTTGACAATCAACCAATAAGTTCACTAGATGATCCAAAGAATAAAGAGAAAATGACTGGTGTTTGAGGACACTAACCGACACAGGATCTTCATCATTCCATTGTCCAGAAAGGATAATCGAGATTGTAGGTGCAACAAAGGTATAAGACCCTCCAATCACAGCAGGCAATCTAGTCCCAAAGATAGACTGCAACAAGGTGTTCAGCCCAGCGACGAATAGCGATGTCTGAATAACTTGGGCTTTTTCCTCCTGCAACGGGCAGATAGTCTTCCAGTTAAAATGTATAACATTACGTGAGGTCAAAAGAGAAACTCATATCTTAAGTAAATAAGTCGTTCAATGTGTCTGGAGGCCTCACATTTCCACCTCCCATTTGGGGAACTAGAGCTGTAGGAATGATAACAATGGTACCAAGCATAACAAGATAATGCTGAAATCCAAGAAGAATAGCTTCAGCTGCATCCCAACAATTACACAAAATCAGCTTGGTCCACAATAAACATGGCGAAACCAATTTAAAACATATAGGTTCAATCTAATTATTCTTCACCAAACAGTACCAAGAAAATAGGGTGCACATTTTGGGAGCTGCTTCCCATATCAAACCAGTTTTAGATTCCAATTTGCTGGCTAGAAACATAAACCCCATGAACCCAAAGCATAACATGACACAGACAAATCGCCAGTAATTTATCTTTGAAGAAAATAGAAAATGTGAAACCAGAACAAGTGATGGTCAATACACATTGTGTTTAATAACATGCCCACCAGAACAAGTGATGGTCAATACACATTGTGTTTAATAACATGCCCTCTTATACCGTAACTAAACGGCCCCTTATTGTCTTATGATATATGGCACCCAGGCCTAGCAAACCCAGACTACCTAATATCTTACATTAGTTTTTCATGTATAAGATACACACACCCTTGAGATGTATAAATAAAATAGACTCCATCCACAATACAACCAAATTAGTCTCAATTTGTTGAATGAAATACAATCCAATGATTCTTCACCAAGAAGTTCAATACTAAAAGAACGGAAACTAAATTTTGTGGAGTATTAAAGCTGCTATTGGTATAGTTTTCCCTAAATGCAAATTGTTTGATGATAACTACACATGGCTACATATTTGTCAAACTGTGGAAAGAATGAAACCAGTGGTGAGTTGTAAGGTCGTTGTCTGGAAAAAACCTACTGAGGGAAGATTCAAACTCAATAGTGATGGTAGTTTTTTAAGAAGCAATAACAGAGCTGGAATTGGGATTATCATTAGAGATGCAGTTGGAGATCTTGTAATGGCCTATTCAATTCCAATATGTTGTCAAAGTAACAATCAAGTAGAAGCTGAAGCTGTTAGATATGGTGTTCAATGGTGCAATCAAAACAATATCAACTGGACTTGGAGATGGACTCTATGGTTATTGCTAATGATAAAAGAAGAGAACAATTCCAACCTTAAACTCAAAGAGATCATCAGGGAAATAAGGCTCAACATGGACATAGATGAAACACAAGTACGCCATTGTTTCAGAGAGGTGAACCAAATGGCTGATTTATAGGCAAAAATGGCATCCTCAAGTGGAATGAGTAACTTTTACTATTCTTTTCAATAGGGTGCACATTCTGGGAGCTGCTAGACCCGTTTCAGATTCCAATTTGCTAGCTAAAAACATAAACCCCATGAACCCAAAGCATAACATGCCATACACCTTTGAAGAAAACAGAAAATGTGAAACCAGAACAAGTGATTGTGTTATCAAGTAGTACAGTGCAATCTTCAAGAAAGAAAAAAAATGGGTTCACAAGAACCATAACCCATAAACCATATGCATCTAGACTAGCTTGTATGCACCTCGATTAATCCACCTGTTAGCCATACTATCCCACATTGTCCCAACCCTTAGCTCCTATGAGCTCACATTAAGTTGAGATTCGAACCTGAACCTGAACCTGAACCATTCATCACTCAGTCGTCTGCTCAAAGAAACTAACAAGTACCCATTATTACACCCCCAAAATCAAAAAAGATAATAAAAACACAAAGCAATGTAGTGGGGTAGCATAAAAGGGAAAGAGATGTAAAGAAACTTACGCCATGGGGGAGGACTAGTAATGCAGTAAGAAACATTAGGAAGCTGATCTTTTGGTGGATGTGGCACTGGTTCACTTGCCTTTGCTGCTGGAGCTGCTCCTCCTCCTCCACCTCCTGCCATTTCTCTCTCTCTCTCTCTCTTCACAAACAAGTGCAACACCCCAAATCTACAGCACACCCAAATCAGCAAATCTCTCAGAAAACACTATGAAAAAAGAAAAAAATGTCACAAAAAAGAGTTTGTGGAAGTACCAAGAGAGCAAAAGATGAAGAAAAAGGTTCTATAGTACAGAGAAATGGAAAAAATGAAGCTCAAAAGGAAGAAGAGTGACAAGAATGGAGCAGCCAGGCCACATGGTGTACTACTACACACCCCACTCGCTTTTGTATTAATGTAATAATAAGGAAATTTCACTCGAAATTATATTTTACTATTCATCACTATATTTTACGATTTATAATCACTTATAAATTGAATAGAAGAAATAATATTTTAATTTTTTAATATTTAAAAGGACCTCAGGAAAACGAAACTTACATCAAAGAAATGTTAAAGAAAAACATTTCTCTTTAATAATTTAAAACGATAAGTTATTGATATTTGACTACTAGAAAAAAAGTGATAATTCACAAAATTTTTATAAGCAAATATGGATTATTTCGCATATTACAAGAATAAGTTTAACCTTTTTTTGCTTGTTAAAAAAAATTATAAGTTTAAAACCATATAAAAATATATAAATTTGAATTATTATTTTTCCAAAAAAAAAATCTATGAACAAATATTTGTAAGAAATAGAAATTAATGAAAAGAATCTTGAAACCCCCCTCCCCCTTCCTGTGTATTAGTTTAAGTGCTAAATTATCTTTATTACTTTCAATAAAAATAGTTTATCTTTTGTCAGCAATCTGACTAAGGTTTTTTTTTTTAAATCTAAGCCTTGTATTTTAAAATTTTATATACTTCAAATAAAAAGAGGATTAACATTTATTCTAATGACGGATTTGTTCGTACAACAATCTCAAATTAAATTAAGCACAAATTCCGATGCAAGACAAAGAAAGTTAATGCAAGATTCCCAAACACAATTTTATTTTGAAATTTAAAAATGTTTCAAACCTAATTGATTTTCGCTCAGTCCCATATTAGATGAGCATTTTATTAAAATTATTTATTTCATTTTATTCGATAATTTATTAAATTATGATATAAGTAATTATTTTTTCAATTTTACCCCTATAATTAATATGACGTTTGAAAGTTTAAAGAAATTTCGAAGTCCAAGAATATTTTTTTAGAAAAAGCTAATTAATACTTCCTCTGTTCCTATTTAGTTGTTCACTTTAGAAATGACACACATATTAAGATAGCAATAATTAGCACAGTGAAGTTATAATTTTACCTTATTGATTATGATTTCAAAAAATGATGAATTAAAACTTGGAAATTTTCAAGAAGTTTAAATGAGGGTATAATAGGAAAAAAATTGTATTTTCTTAATTTATCAAAATGGACAAGTAAATAGGAACAGCTAAAAGAGGAAATAGGGACAGAGGTCGTACGAACTAAGAGCAAAATCATTAATAGATTTAAAAATGATCAATTGATTACTCCTTCTGTCCCTATTTAGTTATTCATATTTCCTCTTTTGGATGAACCTATTTACTTGTCCATTATGACAAATCAAGAAAGGACAAAAAAAATTCCTATTATACCCTCATTTAAACTTCTTGAAAATTTCTAAATTTTGATTCATCCTTTTTGAAATCATATTTAATAAGGGTAAGATTGTAACTTCACTATGTTAATCATTGTTGTCTTAATATGTGTGTCTTTACTAAAATGGACTACTAAATAAGGATAGAGAGAATCATAATTTTTAATTACCGTGTAAAATAGAAAATATACACCTCTTATAAAAACAAGAGTAAAGTAGTTTAATGAATTAAGGTCACACTACTCGATATTTATTTTTTGGAGACATTCTCAACGTATCTCATAAGAAGAAGAAAATAAAAAGACAATTTAGAAGATTATGTCTTTTTGTTTTCATTTGATCGTAAATTTTATTAAAATTTTAATGACTACGATTTCTTTTTTTTTTGGTACATAAGAATATATTAATTGAAAGCAAAGCCTTTAGATTAAATAGAAGGGAAAATGCACAAGCATCCCCTCAATTTATGTCCAAAATTTTAGAGACATATTTGTACCTTTTATGTTTTTATACATTAAAAATTACACGATATTTAATAATTTTAGAAATTAATTTTAGGTTTGGTTTATCCTACGTTTAATTAAAATAAATTGTAGATTCATTTCAAGATTATACTGTTATTTTTATTTCACATCAAGAGCTCATTTAGTACGAGGAATAAGATATACTTAATCCCATATTTAGTTTTGTATGAGTATGTTTAGTTATGACAAAATTACATGATAACTAGTTATGAGTCAGTTGTCTCAAGATTATAGTGTTCTTTTATTCCATATTGAGGATAGCACAACGATTTTCAATCTAACAAGCCTAAAGAGTGAGGAACTCACAAGATTAGTTCAACCATTTTTCTGTGGGTCGGAGTTGCCCGAATTCATTACACATATTAACCTTGTTTTGATTTCAAAAAGAAATTTGTGTAAGAATTCAAAGAATTGAGGCCATGAGTTTGAGCAATTTTACTAATAAGGTGATTTTAAGACAGCTTCATGAGAGGATTGTTAGAGTGCTTCCAAATATTATATCTCTTAATCAGTCGGGTATTGTAAAAGGAAGAAGCATAATGAAAAATATTTTGTTAGTACAGGAGATTATACGGAATATACACCTTAGAAATAAAAAGGTTAATGTAGTGGTAAAGTTGGATATGACTAAGACATATGATAGAGTTGCTTGGATATTCTTAACAAAAGAGCTAAGGAAGTTTTAATTCTAGAGGTGATAATAAATATTGTTTGGAGATGAATTTCGGCTAATTGGTACTCTGTACTAATTAATGGATAAACTCATTGCTTCTTCCACTCAACTAGGGGACTAAAGCAAGTGGGATCCATTGTCTCCAACCTTGTTCATTATATCTGGAGAGGTGTTATTAGAAGTCTTTTAGCCAATTCAATGAGCAAGAATCTTTTAAAAGGATTTGGAATGAGAAAATAGAGTCCTAAAATAAATTATCTAGATGACACAATTTTATTTGGATCAGAAGACAAGGCATTCAGTGATTTAAATAATGCAGGTTTTGAGGGATAATGATACAGCGGGGGACAAAAGGTCAACAAAGAGAAGAGTTTTTTTTACTTACACGAAAAGACCCATTTAATAGTAATAATAAGGATGAGGAATTTGTCTGGTTTTAGGCCTGGAAATTTTCCTTTTACATACCTTATGTCCTATATATTATGGACGAAATGGGAAAAACTACTTTGAAGGGGCTAATTAAGAAGGTTGCGGCTAGAATCTTCATATGGCAAAATAGATTTATGTCCTTTAGTGGAAAATACATTTAAGAGATGAACTATTTATATTAAAGCTTACTTACCTGGAAGCTATCGAACTCGCGCCTCAGGCCGGTAACTCAAACCCTTCAGAAGGAGCGTCATGATTGACTGCGTGAATTCCACACGTCTCCACCAGGGTACACATCTACAAAATAAGAATTAACAGGGAAACTAGTTGAAAAAGACACAAAATATGATAAAAATGCCTTTGTGAGCTGAAATATCACTTCGTTGATCATGGATGTAGATATTATGGTCCAGAGGCAGAGAATGATCAAAGATGGGGAAAAAGAGACGAGAAACATGGAGGCAGAGTAGAAGAGACAAAGAGAACTCTTATAAGGAAACCCTACTGTTAGGCGAAACTTAACTTGTCTATCCTAATTTGGGCCAGCTAACATTTGTGTAATTTGGGCTTCTTTAGCCCGTTGATGTAAAAATTGTTGAGAATAAAGATGTCAAAATGGATTAGCTCAGTCCAACCCAATTCTAACGGGTTAGAGAGTTAAATGGGGTAGGACGGGTTGAACCTTTTAATTAAAGGACCAATAAAATACCAACCCAACCCAGCCCTAAGCAGGCCACAGATTCAGAAAGGTTGACCCTTCAATTAAAAAATGGACAATATTGGTCTCTTATATTGAGAATAAAACATTGGTGTTTGATGATTACGGCATTAATACATTCATAAGTTCATTCGTAAATTACGCATACTTCAGTGAGTACTTACATAATAGCCAAAATACAACATTAATAAAATTCATCCAAGCAAAAAATATTACATAATCACTATTATCATAAACGAGACAATAAAAGAGAAATGAAAAATTAGGCGTAAAACTACAAGTAAAAGAGGCCAACTATTCATAGTAATATTGGAGTAATGAATTTAGGATAATAAGAAAATTTTATGGTTTAATGACCCTAAAATGTAAAAGATATGCAAAGAAGTTAAACTTGTTTTTTTATATTTCTATTTCAAAATTATTTATTGACAAAATCTTAAGAAACAAATCACTACTTAAAATATATACAGTAAATATTTTTAAAATTTAAACCCACGAGTTGGCTTACGAGGCTTGCGGGTTGGGCATACGAGGTTAGCGGGCCAAATGAGGATGAACTAAAAAATCTCGTTTCTAAATGAACTGAAAAAGTTAAGCCCAATGTCACTTAATTAAATAGTTGGATTGGGCCGACCCGCTTGGCCGAGCTCATTTGGACAACTTTTGTTGAGAAGAAATAAACGAACACCCCAGTCTAAAAATGAATTATTTTTAGATGTCTAAAGGGTGAAATGAGAGAAAATATTGAAAATACTTTTGAGCTTATTTTTATTCCACATTGAGAATAGAATAACGATCTTGAAATAACTAATATTGGAATAATTATATTATGAATAACATAATCTTCAATCAAACAAGTCTAAAGGGTGAAATAAGACAGAAAATATTTTTAGGGGTGTATTTTCACTCATGTTGCAAGATCATAGGGTATATTTGAGTTCAATTAATGAAGTAAGGAAATACTTTAAAAGATTTCAACAATTTAAGATTAAATTAATAATTCACGTCAAATTTAGATATATTTTTAATACTTTTGATAATATAATTCTGAAATAACTTATTCTCTAACCAAACAAGTCCTAAAATCATTAACGGGCCATGTGAGTTGTAAGATATGGGCTAAGTTCAGTCTTGCTTACAAGGCAGGCCCATATCATATTTTTCAGTACTTTTTCCGCCATTTTCTAAGTTTGTATAAAGCCCTAAAAAGAAAGATAATTTCAGTTCAATTTTCAACTCATAATCCATAGATTAACGCATCAATTTTGTCTCAGAAAAAGGTTAATATCTCTTCCAAATTACTTTAATTTGTTTTTCGATGAATTTTTTTTTCCAATTTTTGTTTCAGTAGAGGATTTAGAATTGCCATTTTCATGGCCTTACGAGTTTTTTGTGGTTCTGTTGTTGCAGAGAGTGGGCCAATGAAAGTCAAGATTTTTCGTATCGTTTTGTGGTTATATCACTGATATGAAATGCTTAAACGAAGGATATGAAATGTATATATGTTAATTTTATTGTAGCAGATTAAAGTGCAGTGAATTATAGCAAATGTTAGGAAATAATTTCTGTTATAAAAATATAATTTTTACAGTCTGAATATGCAACTAGTTTGATTCCCACTTCGTTGGATTACGCTGAGTACGTTGTAATTAGTGATTGGATATGCCTTATCATGTGATCTTGGGAATTTAGTATCATTTATTTCAGAATTTTGTTGGATAATGTAGAGCCATTGAACTTCTTAAGATTACAAAGAAGCATTCTCGCTTGCCCTTTGGTCTTTTTCTTCTGAAAATCTACTTTTTTTTTTAAAAAAAAAAAAGTTATTAGGTTTGAACCTTTCACCTCAACGGTGACTTCAATTTATATTCCATCAATCATTTCATGTTTTTATGAGGTGAAGACGTGCATGTTCTAATTTTTTTAAGTAAATGGAGTTTAAGCTTTATGTTTCAAGTTGGTTAGATGCTTTGACAGAAGGATATGTTGTGATATTTTTTTGGGATATAGACTATATCATGAATTTTCCCTTAACCAGTTCTGTTGTGTTTTTTGCTGGGATCGTGAATAGAGTACGTCCTCTTCATGACATTTGGAGTTTAATAGAGTAGTTGGCTGACTTTAGAATTGCATGATGTGATTACTTCCTTGGATATTGCAGATGACACACAGTTGCTTCATGGACATGGGAAGCTCAATATGAAACTTGTGGTATATGTATGATGGCTTTTGATGGTTGTTGTCCTGATTGCAAACTCCCTGGTGATGATTGTCTACTAAGTAAGCCTGTATATCCCTCACTGAAAATTTTCTCAGTTAGCTACTGAAACACCATTATCACGTAAACCTAGTGTATCTGTATATCCAATGAGTTACACCAATTTTTATATATTTACATGGATAAATTATTATGTTTTGTAGATTACATATCGGAAGTGTCTTATAAGTTAAATGTATGTGCATTGTCGAGATGTATTTGCCTTTAAATTTTGAGATACATTGTTGATGCAATTGGTGGAATGATTCAAGCATCAGAATATATTGGTTCCTAAACTTTGCATGTGTGCCTTCCAATTGAGGCTATTAGCTTGCTGGTCTATCTTTTCAAGAGAAGAAGGAAAAATGTAATTGTGCATTCATCATGTGTTTTACAAAATGGGGAAAAAAATCCGATCTTTGTTTTCGAGGTTTACATATTTTTAAGTCGATATTACTCATGAACACAAGGAGAGCTATAAAGTGTTCCCTGATAATATTTGTAGTCCTTTATTCTAGTGTTACCTATCACTGTCCTACTGGATGACATAATTAGTTTTAATTTGTTTGATTTGGTGGTAAGACTGGAGAATGATATAGTAAAGGGTATGTTTTTTTTGTATAAATAGTGAGTGTTTTACTGAAAACATGGATATTCTCAGAACTTAGTACCCACTAACTATATAGAACTCCTTCAATCTACAGCACTTTGTTTAAGCACTCAACGGAGAGAGCAATACTACTTTAGTTGCACATTGTTTCTATTACTGTACTTACCTTAGTATACCACTTTCATTATGTCTTGTGTTTGTCAGCAGTCTTTTTAGTTAAATTTCATAACTAAACACCCAGTTGGTGTCGAAGGAATTTGCAAATAATGTTTGTGAACCGAAACGAGTCATCCACATGCATCAAACCACTTTGATAGCTATAAACATGTTAATTTCTCTCTACCAAAAATATGAATGAAAAAGAAAAGAATTTTTGATGCTGACTGAAACAATCTTTTATATATTTCGTTCCATAAGTACCAAAGAGGACATAGTAGTAATGTTTCCTAGGCTGCCCTCCTTTAACATTTGATTGTATGAAGTGAGAGCAGTTGGTCCTATGAAGCATGAACACTTGTCTTCCTAGTAGGATTTAAAATATTGTCTCGCCCTATACCCATCTCTTCTCTTCCATGAACCAAAGGCCATTAGGATCAGCCTGTCTTGCTAGCAGAATTTTATAAATCACAAGATAAAAGTAGTTTACGTTGGTTTTATTCTATGAATAACTTTATATTTTTAATAGCGATGGTGTCTGGGCTAGTTTGTGCGCACCTCGACTAATTCTACGGAATACCTGCTACCTGCGCACCTCAACTAATTCGACGAAATACCTGCTACCTGCGCACCTCAACTAATTCTACGGAATACCTGTCACCTTCTACACGGAACAGGTACCAGGTAACTCTTCCATCCAAGGCCTAGACAAATGGAAAAATTACCTAGTGTTAGTATTTTTGTCTCCAATAGGGTTTGAACCTGAGACCTCATGGTTATTCCCCCACTTCAATTACCATTAGGGCACACCCTTAGGTGCTCTTACTTTTTCTTATCCAACTTCAACGAAATTACATATCCAACTTGTATTGCAGAACAAATGGCAAAAAATATGCATAGAAATTAAGATAAGTACTCCTAAGAATCAGAAGCACGTTTGTGGAAACTGTTGAGGCGAAACTGTGATTATCTGAAAAATCCTGCATCTATGGGAACTTATTCAAGTATTACTGGCACTTGAAGCCTATATTCATGCCTAAAATAGAAATCAATCTCTAACATGGATAAAAGTTAAGTTAGTGATACAGTGTGATTTTCCAAGCTTCTATTAGAGTAGATAGACATTGAAGCATGATCAGTATCACAAACATCTCGCAGCTAGGGCAAATCAAATAGGTACTTGACATTTTTTTTGTCAAATTTGAGTCAGCAATATGAACTAGTTATAGCAAGATGAAGTCAAGCAGGTGAAATGCTCTGTAACACAGATATATAATAAACTAATACTGATTCTCAAAAAATGCAAGACCCATGGCAAGTATTTGTAGTAGTATTTTTTTGTTGACAGCTTATGCTGAAAATATTTGACCAAAATACTCAATAAGCTGCTATAACACACCCTATATTAACAAATTATCTTCAAAGTCTCTTTCAAAGCCTATATTTTAAAAGGTTCACTTGTATTATCTGCAAATTCAGAAGGGGAGAGAAGTTGTCTTGAGAAAGTTTTTGTTGGCATATTAAGATGCTAGACACAGAGATGATGGAATGGAGGATAATTGGACAGCTACTGGATGTATCACAAGTTTCAATTATAAAGTTGTCTCTAGTACAACTACTAACAATCTTACGTGGACAAAACAAACTCCTATAAGATCATCACGTTGACTCTATTAAGAGACCATGTGAAATCTGCATTT